CCATATCTTCCCTTCTTATTCTTTGTATACTATTTTTCTTGCTTCTAGAACAGCAGCAACAACAACAACACTTTGGCCAACAATTGCAAATCCTTGTAGGGGGGTTTTTCGTCTTTGCTGCATCATAGCCATAGAGAGCTTGTCAACCAACATATAGAACCAACATATGCACACAAAAACCAAGCACAAAATACCCAAATAACAGCATATAAAACCAACATGTGCACACAAAAAGTCGAGCACAAAATACCCATTATCCAACAAATTTAACCAACATGCGCACACCAACAACATCAAGTACCAACCAACAATATCAAGTAATCAGCAGCTGGTTATTGATTATGGATGAGGGCTCAGAACTGGGTCAATATCATCATTGTTAGCCTCCAGTGCAAATATCAATAGATATTGTAGGTGGCTAATCCCAGAAATTTTGACAATCATCATAGCCTAAGGGGCTGTTTGGTTCGTTTCCTAGATATAGGGAAATGCATGACAATGTACAAAAATATCATCATTGTTAGCCTCCAGTGCAATATCAATAGATACTGCAAGTTGCTAATCTCAGATAAATTAAAAAGCATCATAGCCTAATTTGAACACCTGTAAACAATATCATCCAAATCAAATCTAGCCGAAACAAGCACAACCAAGCTCACAACCAGAAATCCCCAAAACAAGCACAAAAGCATCATTTACCCAACAATTAAAATGATGCACCAACCAGCCAACAAAATCAAGAATGCAGCCAAAAACACCAACAGGCAACAACAACCCAGCAGAAAAAAACCAACAGGCCAACAACACCAACTGGCATCAACACCACCAACAGGCATCAACACCAGGCATCAACACCAGCCAACAACAACCCCAATTCATGAAAATTGGGTACAGAAAAGTCGGTCAAGCTATGGTGATGTGTTCCGATCATTCCAAAGTTGAAGGAATGCTTCAATATTTCTAAGTGTGTCTATTTCGTCATCATTCTTTAATTTAATTGCTAGTGATTGAAAGAATCAGCAGACCAATATCACTTGCAACAAGTTAAAAAAACACTTTGCACACTTGTTTTGGATGTGAATCCATTGTCCATTTCACTCTAACAATCTAATGCAGAGTTGCAAGCAGATGGTGTCTTTGGGGGCGATCTTTGTTCAAGGTCCGCTTGGGGGCTAGGGTTTTGCGGTGAGGATCGTCGGAGGCGGCGACAATTTGGAGCTCCGACGAGGTCGAGGCCTTGTTGTTGTTGTTGTTGGTGTCTTTGGGATCCATTGGAGTTAGAGAGAGAGAGAGAGAGAGAGAGAGAGAGAGAGAGAGAGAGAGAGAGAGAGAGCAATGAGAGCCCAAAAACAACAAAAAGCCCCCAAATTTCTGAGAAAAAAACTCCAGCGAAACCTAGAAAAGGAAAGGCGAACAGATCGAACCTCAAACTTCGAAAGCGTCGCCACCCCTACGATCTTGCTCCGCTCCGGCGTCCCCATCTCATCGGAACTCCGGAGATGAATCTGATGGAGGAGAGAAAGTCGATGGAGTCAATTTTAGCGTCGAAGCCGACGAGAGAAATCAACAAGAGATTTCTGGCGGGAGGAGAGCAAGGAGGTAACCGCAGCGTCCCAAAGAAATCAAGGAGAGAAGGGAGAGAGCGATTGTCAGAGCTGGCCAGTTTTTTTATCGATTTCTCTTGGTTGGGGAAGGAAATCGGGGAGAGAAAAAAGTCTGAGTTGGCGGTGTTTTCACCCCGTTTCTCTCCCTTCAACCCTAGCAAACCAAAGCAAGGAAAAGAAATGAGCGGAAACAAAAAATCTGAGGTGGCGGTGGTGTCAGGCGCAGAAATGCGTTTCCACGGGCTATTTAAGCGAACCAAACAGCCCCTAAAGGGAAGTATAATGATATGATATGATATGATTATAATATCCAGTGAAGCCCATCATTGGATAATTTACTTTAGTATCCCTCTATATAAGTTGTAGCTGTTGCAACGTGCTGATGCCTATGCACTTTTGTAGAAGACATCATTTTTTAATGTTCATGAGTTTGGTCCACCACTTATCTTTGGATCAGATCTTATCAGGTTGTATATCTCCTTGTCCTTTGGATCTATAATTTTAGAACGTAATTAAAAAAATAAAGTACAGAATATTATCCAGTGGTTTCCCCATCCTTTGAAGAATGCCCTACAATGGAGCACAGAAATAACATCAACATTTGTGTTCCGCTTGATTTGGGCGAACACCACACGTGCTGTTGTGCGCTAGCCTATCTACAAAAAAAAAAATCCATGGAATGTTGTACACATATGTGAACTTGGAGAACCTTAATAAAATTACGAATATTGTTTTTCTAGGGATATAGTAGTTAGAATACTATATAGTGCTTTGAAAATTTTGTTTTCATGTACAAATCCATTTTTAAGCTTGCAAAGAAACTCACAACGTGATCAAAAACTACTTTCATACCCGCGTAATGTGAACGTATGTTCATTAAGTTACAAGAATTTAAAAATTACAAAATAACTTCAAAATGATGCGAGGATTGAACAACGTATACAAATAACATGCGCACATGTAGAAATTTAACATGCATAGATTTAGAACTATATAATAACTAATTATCAAGGCCCATACTGAACAGATTGAAAATGTTAATTCAAGCACAACCTTCACAATCACAATCAAGTCGTTGGCTCACCTAACTTAAATAGGTTGCTAAATTCCAAGTGAAGTAACTTCATTCTTAACTATTAATTATATTATATTTCTTTTTAAAAGTAGCAGTAGGTTGGAAGCTGGCTGCTCATGAGGAGCTATAAGCTATGCAGTTGTGGTTTTCATCACTTTGATCCTATGAGAGTTTAATTGGATCCAATATTAATTTAGAACATTTATGTTTCTTGTCAAGTATAATATCAATATATTGTTGCGCTCTGATACTACTTGTTGTGCTCTGATACCACTTGTTATGCGCGACGGAAGCCAAAACCAAACCGATGTGCTTCGAAAGACCAAATCAAACAAACGCCGAAAGAATGCTAAACAATACAAAATAACGGCACAAACTCAAACAACCAATTTTAACGTGGTTCAGCAAGTTGTCTACGTCCACGGGCAAGAAGGGGATGAGGTTTTCGCTAATAGAGAAGAAGAGTACAAACTGAGATTACAAAGTCACACAAACTCACCAATTAATCTCACCAACAAAACTCTAATTCTCTCCAAACAAAACCCTAACCAATAGCTCAGAAAATATCTCTTTTCTGTGCTCCAAATATCCCCTTCGCTGCTCCCCAAACCTAAAACGTGTTCTTATATATATAGAAATCCTAAAACCAAAAGCATATTAGGAATTCTAAAACCAAAATCAAAACAGATTAGGAATCCTAATAACCTGTTACCAAAGCAGATTAGGAATCTCAGTAACCTGTTACCAAAACAGATTAGTAAACATATTATGAACCTGCTATCCAACATATATTAGGTGGGTATCACTTACTATTTTGATTATGGTCTCCTGCATCCTGCATTTAGGATCTAAATCATGAGCCTTGTGTTGTGATCTCAGCTAATTCGGCATTTACGCAGTTAATCAAAATAATAATCTGCATTTCCAAACATTGAGAGCTAATAAACTATCATCTGATGTTTTAATTAATCATATTTATGGTTGTAGACTTGTAGACAGTAGATTGGAGAGATCGTCATCCTTGTGGATTCTCTGAGAGTGCTACTCTGTATTATTGTCTTTTATAATTAAGCAGCCAGTGCTTTGTGCTGCCATCACTATGAGAATAATACAAATAGGCATGTGAACAAGGCTAATCAATTAGATTACTAAGCCCTTGCTTTAATAAACTTCATTATTTGTTAGTACAAAGAAGGAAAATAGAGTTTTAACTTAGCATCGAGTAATAATGTGGAGTATAGCAAAATCATTTCTTAAAACATGGTTGTTTTTTTTAAACAGGCTTGATTCAAGAGATGTCTACGTAAAATAGTTTCACTTATTTACTATATATTGATCGAAATAGTATCTATGGAATCGAGGGTTATAGATGTTTGTTGTGAGTAAAATCTCAAAAAATAAAATAACATAAAATATAAATCTTGTAAATAAAAAGGGTATCTCTTGAATCAAGCCTTAAACTCCCACTTAAGTTGAAATGTTAAGCTTAAAGGTGCAGTTGCACTCCTAAATTTATGTAAAATTACATTCTAAGACCATGCAAATTTACGTTCAGCCAATTTAAGTTGAAATTTTAGCCTAGTTGTCAAGAATTTTCATAATATTATATTATAAATTTTGGGTAAATAGATATTTGTTGTTTTGCCTCCCCTAATAGATTTTTTCTGGATCTATATCTCCTCTCTTCTTTCAGTATCAAACCTTAAACTTCCACTTCTCTACCACTAATAAATTTTGTATTACATTTTCCGTTATCAATTGTTTTCGAAGAAATAAAACTAACTTGAAATGGCCTTTCCGTTCCAATTCAAGACAAAATAACCTAAAACATGAATTGTAACAACCACTTTTCGTAATTGTTCTTGCATATAATCCGGATTTTACAATTAAGGCTACCTAGATCATGTCGTGTTAGCAGCTTGTTCAAAAGATAGTCAAATTTACTCGCTAAAGTGAAGGACAACTGCACTCAACATACTTAATTCAGGTCCGAGTTTTATGAATTTAACTCTATTGGCTTAATAATATAATATTTTCACTTTTTTATTTTTATATTATATTTTCACTTTTTTATTTCATGAAATTACTGCAATTTTATTCAATTGAGCATTGAAAATAAAAACTTGATTACATTATTTGTCACTCGGCTCTATTTGTTCTCATCCAAATGAAAGTGATTAACATCGAACTGAAAGTGGCGTCCATTTCAAAAATTGACCCCAACGAGCC